ATATATATATATATACAGGAATCTGTCCCGATTTAACATCAGACATAGTTACAAATACTGTTGGCCTGAACAAGTGAAGCCGAGATTGAAGTTTTCTACTAGTTACAAGAAGTTCCAGTTGGCACATTCTCCTTTTTTCCATAAGTTTACATCATCATAAGTGGAGCTGTGCTTTGGGGCTGTTGTACAAGAGAAATGCGAAACAACTAAAATAAACAAACCACTATCCTATTTGGCAAATTACATTCTCAGATCACCATCATCTGTTACAAAGAAGAGATGCCCATTGTAATATGTATTATTAATATCACTTTTAAAACCTAAACATTCTAGCTTCTCACACTAAATCTTTCCTTATGTTCTTTCAAGTAACAAAGTAATCACAAATCTGCCCATCACCAGGCTTCTGGAACTACAGTAACTATAAATTTAGGTCAACATGTTTTGATACCTAAATCTGCAAAAATAAAAACTGTAGTGCTAAAAAAGAGAAAAGGGCCAAGATTTTCAAAAGCGACCAGTAAATTGGGTTGCCTCAATTGTGGAGTGCCCTATTTGTGACACCTCAAAGGGGCCCAGTTTTCAGAAAGAGCCAAGCACCTGCCCCTCTGAAAATCAAACCAAGTTGTATAATTTGCTTTTATTACAATGTATCAAAGTTTTCTTGTTTGCTGCAGAATCCATCAACATTTTCTTTTGATCATTGAAGATAATCATTTTCTTAATTATACAAGTCTTTGGGTACTTTTTTCCAAATGGCGTAAGTAAATCAAGAAAAATTGCAGCTCTCTGCATTTTTAAAGTGCTGATTTAAATATGCAAAATGGTTCTGGGGAAAACAATATCTTTTGACAACTAAGTGATTGCAAATATACAGGGTTGGCATGATTTTTGTTAGAATATCATTCCTTTAGCAGTATTCTCATTACCATATAGCAAGGGATGTATTTATATCAGATAGACTTCAGAAGAAAAAAAATAAACCAGCCTTTGAGGGGAAAAATCATTAGTATTAGGTGTGTAAACTGTCTAAATATCAGCTAAAATTGGATGTATTTTTAACAAGCACTTCAAATAGGGTGACCAGATGTCCCGATTTTATAGGGACAGTCCAGATATTTGGGGCTTTTTCTTACATAGGTGCCTATTACGCCTCGTCCCCCACTCTCTGTCCAGATTTTTTACACTTGCTATCTGGTCACCCTAACTTCAAAATATGTCAGGCACTTCTGTTAAATAAACAATTCCGGTTATAAAAATGTTATAAGACGATACACTTGTTCTCCACGGGGTGGACATATGCAGGCATTTTACCAACATTACCTCACTAGAGCTGGCTCTTGTTGGACTTTACAGTTACAGCAGCTTACATAGCTCTAAAAGATCCCAGAAGGGCCCCTGGAGAGTTTCCTTGTTCTTTTCAAAACTCAGCCCAATGCAAGAACTAATTGCTGCAGTTTGTGTGAAACACTCACTTCTGCACGTTTTGCCATCACGGTTTAGGGTGTATCCACTATGACATCTGCACACAAAAGAGTCTTCTGTGTTAACACATTCCTGTTCACAGCCATGTTTACCCAAAGCACAGAAGTTTATTCCTGTGGAGAGAGAGGTTAAAGAATACAAGCTAAGTATGCTGATTACTGAACAAAACATCATGCTTCTTAAATGGCACTAACTTCCATGTGACAGACAGTTAATAAAACTGTGGGAAGCAGCTGATCTGGTGGCCTATTAGTAAAAATGTGCAAGACTTTGCTTTGATCCCCATACTTTTTCTTTCCCCAGCCATCAGAAGTAACATCAACACTTTGGGGAGGAGGAGTGCCTGGTACTGCTCAGCAGTGACACACACAGTTTGGCTTAGAAAAGAGGAAGTAGAAAAGTTGATGGATTGTTTTATTTTATAAGTCTGTTTAATGTGAACCATGAAGTAAAGTGTTTGGGAATGAAAATACTACCAAACTGAAGGGCTGATCCAAAGCCCACTGAAGTCACTGAAAAGAATCCCATAATTCACAATTGTACTCCTGGTAATAAACATTATGCTTGGAAATGTTTGCAAGATTGGACCCTTTGTTCCTGTGTTCCTCTAGGAACACCTGTCCTGTAAAGTCCTGAATATAATCACAATGCTATGTACAATTATAAAAATAGCAGCAATCCAGACTGCTGTTAAAAATGATACTGGTACATGAAAGCACATACCAAAACACACATTTTTTGTGAAGATGAAAGACATTTAATCGTGTTCCAAAAGAGGCTATTTCCTTAGTTTTACTCTATGTGAGTTTACAATTAGAGAAATATTAATACTACCTCTTGCTCCTGGCTTTCATAGTGCTCAGGTACTAAGGAAAGCTAGCTGCTTCACCTGTGTGCAAGTTCTATATACGCCTTAAGAATCTCTCCTGATGCATCTGCTTTGATGCAAGCTTGCTGGGTCCCACACCAGAGGAGCTGCGTCATAGAAATGTAGGACTGGAAGGAACCTCAGTAGATCACCTAGTCCCATCTCCTGCACTGAAGCCTGGTTTACACTACAAAATTAGTCCACCTAGCTGCGCTTCTGTCTATGCTTAAATTTGTCTCCCACTGATGTAAGTGCCCCTTTATGTGAACATAGTAGAACCAGCTCCCCGAGCAGCGTTGAGCCAAGGTTGATGTATGAAGGTCAATGCAGTGCAAATGTAGACACTGCATTACCTATGTTGACCCTAACTAGTCCTCCAGCAGCTGTCCCACAATGCCCAACACTGACCGCTCTGGTCACAATTGTTAACTCCATTGCCCAGAGGTCACGTATATCACAAGCCCCCACTCCTTTAAAACCCCTGTGAATTTTTGAAATGCCTTTTCCTGGTTGTCCAGTTTGGTGAGCACACTTCTATCTGCTCTCCTTTGTTGTGTGCAACTGCCAAGCTGACCATGCCTAGGGTTACCATATTTTGAGCCTCCAAAAGGAGGACACTCCATGGGGCCCCGCCCCGCCCCCACCCCAACTCCGCCCCCTCCCCTGCTTCCCGCGAACATTTGATTCGCGGGAAGCCTGAAGCAGGTAAGGGAGGTAAGGGGGGAGGAGGCACGGCCCAGTCTGGCCCCCCCGGCGTCTCCAGCCTGGGTCGGCTCGGGCCCTGGGGTGCCGGCCCCGGGCCCGGCCCCCGGCCGAGCACCCCCGGCCCGTCCAGCACTACCGGTCCCCCAGCCGAGCACCCCCGGCCCACTCAGCATCGGCCGAGCACCCCCGGGCCCCCGGCCAAGCACCGCCGGCCCCCGGCCCAGCACCGCCGGCCCCGCATGTCCCAATTTTCCTGTACATGTCCGGCTTTTTGGGATTTCCCCCCGGACGGGGATTTGGAGCCCAAAAAGCCGGACATGTCCGGGAAAATCCGGACGTATGGTAACCCTAACCATGCCAGCTACATGCTCCAGATGCACTCCTGCCTGGAGTAGATGGGAGATATTGGATCTCCTGGGCCTATGGGAAGAAGAGGCTAGGCAGGCACAGCTCCGAACCAGCTGTAGAAACATCAACATCGATGAGCAGCTTGCTCTGGGGAGGCAGAAAAAGGGCTATGACAGGGACCAGCAGCAGAGAGAGCCATGAAAGTCAAGGAACTGTGGCAGGCATATCAGAAAGCCAGTAAGGCCAACAGTCAATCTGGTGCCACGCCACAGACCTGCTGCTTTTACACAGAGCTGCATTCCAGACTTGGTGGAACCCCACCACCATCCCACACACCATCATGGATACCTCTGAGGAGCCCGAGTCACAGGCCCCTGCTGTGACCACAAGGTGGAGAAGTATAGGGGACAGGTGACGGGGAGGTCCAGTAGTGCTGCGACCCAGGACCATTTTTTGACTCCACCGCAGTCCAGCTAGTCCTTGCAATCAAGCATGGGTGAGCCCGATGCAGGGGAAGGAACTCGAGTAAGCATGTAAATGAAATTCCCATTCAAGTTACAGCATCCCCAGCTTTGCTGGACACAGCTATCAACTTTTCATTAATTCACTCATACTACAAGAGGTAGTGATACAACAAAGAGATGCAATTGCTATCTGCTTTTCATTCCCCTCTAGAGTTAGGCACGGGAGGGGGCCATGTGGAGCAGTTTGTTTATGTACACAACGATCTCTCTTGAGTCCTCCTGAGAGATCTCGATGAAACTTCCCTGGAGGTACACTGCAATCCTCTCCCGAAGGTTTCTAGAGATGGCAGCCTTATTTTTTCCTCCGTGGTAGGACACTTTCCCATGCCAGTCGGTGATAACTTCAGCAGGCACCTTTCAAATACACAGTCTAGCAGCATTCAGACCCAGGTGACTTGAAGACGCCAGCAACAGTTGTTCTCTCTGTGCCTTTGTTACTCTCAGGAGTGAGATATCAGCCAAAACCACCACCATCTGTGGAAAAGGGTGCCAGTATTCAGTGCCAGTGCCCTATACTCATAGTTTCATGCAACTGAGCAATTCCCTTCTTGTTTCCCTCACCCCTGGCAGCACATACTCACCATGGCTTGAGCAGAGAGTGGCACCAGGCACAAGCACTCCAAAGCAGAAGTGTCAATAAGCTCATTTTGTTTAACACTCTAGAGCAGCAAGGGAAGGAGGGAGTGCTGAATCGGAAGTTTCACTTTCCATTTCTATTGTACTGACAATAGTACCTCTGTGTGTTTTAGCTGCAGCTGCTGTGGCCTTGAGAGGTTCCCCCTCCACACCAGAAGTGGTGCTCCACCGTCTGCTGCTGCTCTGTGAATGCCACCAATAACCTTGAATTGGTTCTCGCTATGTCCCACAGCAAACTGACCACCATGTTCCCTGCAGTTCTTCTTGCAGCTCTATAAATACCGGAGAACGGTGTGTACTGTGTTTGCAGTGCTCATGACAAAAGTGCAGAGCTATGCAATCTTCATGCTTCTGCCAGAGACTCCAGGCAGTGACAAGTCCCATGCAGGTTCACAGGAAATTGAAAATAGGTGCAAAAATAATGGGATAAAGATGATATTATGGGATGGATAATAGTGCATTATGGGAAGTTGACCCCTGTTCCCAGTCACCCCTATGCGAGTTGTTTCTGCCAAAACTACCCAAAAGCCAGCGTGCTGAATGGTGGCAGGTTGCACACTGGGATACCTACCCATTGACACAAGCACTCCTGGAGAGTACACGCAGCGCTTACGCAAGGAGACAGGTATGCACATGCACAAGTGATATACTAACTGCTGCGACTTTATGCAGACGTAACTTGTGTTAGGAAAGCTTTGTAGTGTAGACATGGCTTAAGTATTATCCAGACCATCCATGTTAGTTATATTTCTAACCTGCTCTTAAAAACCTCCAGTGATGGAGATTCCACATCCTCCCTAGAAAATCTGTTCTCTACCAAGGTCCATTCCCCATTTAGGAAGCTAATACAATGGAGGCTGTTTTCTAAGTTTTGTAAGAAACTGGGATGGTGATTTAAAGGAATGGTTCTCAGCCAGGGCTCCAGGGCCCCTTGGGGGCCGCAAGCTGGTTTCGGGGGGCTGCCAAGCAGGGCCAGCATTAGATTCTCTGGGGCCCAGGATAGTAAGCTGAAGCCCCACTGCTTGGGGCTGAAGCCCTGAGCTCTGTCACCCAGGGCTGAAGCTGAAGCCTGAACAATCTAGCTTCACGGGGCACCCTGTGGCATGGGGCCCAGGCAATTGCCTGACTTGCTATCGCTTGATGCCAGCTCTGGCTTTTATATGCAGAAAACCAGTTACTGCAGCACAGCTGAGCCATGGAGTTTTTATAGCATGTTGGGGGGCCTCAGAAAGAAAAAGATTGAGACCCCCTGATTTAAACTCTGTAGTGTTTAAAATATGAATGTAAACTGCTTTTAATAACTAAATAATACATCCCCTACTTTTCCAAAATTAGTCAAAGGCATCTGTCCTTGGCTACAACATAAATTTGAAGTATTTAGGCCAAAACCACTTGTGTTACTACAAGCCCAAATTAGAAAATTTCAAAGACGTAATGAACGTCCTGGTTTTGAGCCATCATATGTCCAATAGTACTCCCGAGAATTGCTTCAAACTCTTCAGAAAAATTGTAATGTAGTGTAAAATCTGGTCTGTGAAATATCAAGGAGTTTGGTTTAGTTTTTGGCAAAGTTATGGGGTGAAGGAAGGGGCTGAGGTTAAAAATCAACCTTAAAATAGGTTTGTTTCAGCCTTCACTATGGAAGAGGCTATGATCTTTCCATAAAGTCAGCCATATAGGTTTTCAGAAATAAAAGCAGGTGAACTTTATTAGATATAGTAGGACAACTTACTTTTGCAAGTTCTCTTATCTGGATTAAGAGTAAACCCGTGTTGGCATTGACAAAAATAGGAATCATTTGTATTAACACATTCCTGTTGACAGCCATGGGTCTGCAAAGCACAGTAATCTGGTCCTGTAAAAAGAAAAAAATGTGCAGCAATGAGGAACATAGACAAATAAATTAAATTAAAAACAATTACCTCAGTTTTTTTCAGTGAGCATCTCTCTTTCTGGACACGCTCCTGACACCTTGCCATACTGTCTCAAGCTGTGAAAACAGAATGTTCCATTTTCACACAGACTATAATACAGCATACACATTTTTAATGAACCCTTGGGGGATAAGTTTTCAATGGGAGGATGTACAGAAATGAGTGTTAGTATTTTTGCGATTTTTGCAGCTAAATACCCATAGAGCACTGAAAATGTATCAGTTGGTTTTCTAATGAATTACCTGGTAATATTATTTTACTGCATGCAAGTTAGATATGATTTATAAGAAGAAGTGTATTAGTGTGCTTTTGGCTGCCTTTCACTAGATTAGAGCATTACTTTATCTGAAAAATCAGGGTCTGAACAACTCAGGTTTGTTTGCTTTGCAGTTCCCTCATTTAAGTTGCTCATGAGATGATAGTCATGAAGATTTATAGGTTTCAGAGTAGCAGCCATGTTAGTCTGTATCTGCAAAAAGAACAGGAGTACTCGTGGCACCTTAGAGACTAACAAATTTATTTCAGCATAAGCTTTCGTGGGCTACAACCCACTTCTTCGGATGCATAGAATGGAACATATAGTAAGGAGACAGATATATATATATATATACACACACATACAGAACATGAAAAGGTGGAAGTAGCCATATCAACTCTAAGAGGCTGATTAATTAAGATGAGCAATTATCAGCGGGGGGAAAAGTCTGAAATGGGCCATCTGGATTATCACTACAAAAGATTTTTTTTTCTCCTGCTGATAATTGCTCATCTTAATTAATTAGCCTCTTAGAGTTGATATGGCTACTTCACTTTTTCATGTTCTGTGTGTATATATATATCTATATCTATATCTCCTTACTATATGTTCCATTCTATGCATCCGAAGAAGTGGGCTGTAGCCCACGAAAGCTTATGCTCAAATAAATTTGTTAGTCTCTAAGGTCCCACAAGTACTCCTGTTTTTATTTATTTTTTTGGTGAAGATTTATAGGCAACCACTATCACCAATGTATAAAGTATGTTAGAAAAGGAAGCTCACTGTGCAGTGATCAGTGGGATCCATGTACACTTAGGGCCTGATTCTACACCAGTGAAGTCAATGAGATTTTTGTCATTTACTTCACATAGAAGCAGCATTTGGCCACTAGGATCTCACTGGTGACTTCAGTGGAGTTACTGCTGATTTCTACCAGTCAGAGTTAATCACTAACATTTCATTCCTGGCAAAATTAGAGAAGAGGGCAGAGGTTAGTTCCTTAGGATCAAATTTTTAAAGACAGGCTGGCTGGAAAACATGAATCCAGTTTGTGAAAATTGTTGAGGTTTTGATATGTGGTTTCATTCCTCATTGGAAGAAAACTGAGACCCTTAAAAATTTTTCATGAAAAACACAGAGAGGCCTGCCCATGGCAGAAGAGCCAATAGTTTGGGCACTTGCCTGCGAGAGACTCAGTTTGACTCACTGCTCTGAATCAGTTACTCTTAATCTCTCCTTCTAGAGCTCTTCCACTCTGAATCAGGCAGAGCAGGGACTTGAACCCAGGTCTTCCACCTCACAGCTGAGTGTGCTAATCACTGGAATACTGACTATTCAGGTCCTGCTCTTGTCTCAGAAATTCCATCTTGGACCTCAGAAACATTCCCAAGGAACATTTCATCACAACCAATTTGTTTCCATGAAAAGTTTTGGTTTTGACAGATCAGCATTTTCAGATGGAAAAATGTTTTGCTAAAAAATTCTTGACCAGTTATTGTTTAGGCTCCTAAAGACACAGGTAGGTGCTTATCTGCATCTGTAGGTGCCCAGTTACCCTTAAAAATCTGACCCTTAAAGGAGAGTCAAAGGTTACCTAGATAAACTTTGTGGTGTAAAGACTGTCTTTTTGATATGTCAAGTATCAGGGGGGTAGCCATGTTAGTCTGAATCTGTAAAAAGCAACAGAGGATCCTGTGGCATCTTTAAGACTAACAGAAGTATTGGGAGCATAAGTTTTCGTGGGTAAGAACCTCACTTCTTCAGATGCAAGTAATGGAAATTTCCAGAGGCAGGTATAAATCAGTATGGAGATAACGAGGTTAGTTCAATCAGGGAGGGTGAGGTGCTCTGCTAGCAGTTGAGGTGTGAACACCAAAAGAGGAGAAACTGCTTCTGTAGTTGGATAGCCATTCACAGCCTTTGTTTAATCCTGATCCGATGGTGTCAAATTTGCAAATGAACTGGAGCTCAGCA